TTCATTTCGGTCAGGAAAATTTCTCATTTCGGTCAGGAAATTTTCATTCTGATAGAGTTCGATTATAGTAGGACGAAAAATTCGACAAAAAACCTTCTTTATAGACCGATCAAATGAGCTGCCTCCCTCAATCCCTACCACTCAAAAAAAAGATGTACAAAGACTTTTATTCAGTTTTATTCATTGAAAAAATTTCAAGAAATCATTTAAAAATTACAAAAAAAGTGGCTAACCCTTCAAAAAAGGTAGCCAAGTTAAAAAAAAGGAATATTTTTTGCATTTGTTTAATCAGATTCTCCAGCCATCAACTCCCAGAACTCCTCAAACTCAATCTTTCCCGAACCGTCCTCATCGATCTCGTCGACAGCCTCCTCGAGTTGTTGATCAGTCAGGTCGTCGGCGATCTCCTTGAGGAGAGCCTTCAAGGTTGGTCGGGAGATGTATCCGTTACCCTGGAAATTTTTAAATTATTTTTTGACTGTAGGTAAGAGGGCTGGGGACCAGGTTGAAAAGTTCAAAGTAAGAGGGGGGGGGGCGTGGCTTCCAAGAAAAGGGTACTAACCTCCTTGTCGAAAAGACGGAACGCCTCACGGAGTTCCTTCTCCAGCGTCTCCTTGTCGACAGTGTTGGCGACGGTGTAGACGAGAGCGCAGAACTCGTCGAACTCGAGCTTTCCGGAACCGTCGGCGTCGAATTTGCGGATCAGTTTGCGAAGGGTCTGGAAGATTTGAGAGTTATTGGGGGTGGTCTCGGTCAAGGGGGCCCAGAACGGTACGTGGGAGGGTTGGGCTGTGGTGTCGGTCTTTCAGAACAATCTAGAAGAACCTAAGGTGCGGGGCTTTTGGAGGTAGGTCCTTCAGAAGATTCGAGAACAGTTTGGCTACCCTAGGGGGGCTTATGCTACCCTAGGGGGCTTTTACCCTAGGGGGCTTTTACCCTAGGGGGGCTTTTACCCTAGGGGGGGGGGGGGGCTTAGTGAATAAGCGGGAATTCAAAAATCTAGAGCCCATGAGCCAAATCTCAGGCTTAGAATCCATTAATTCTGCCCTAGAGCTGCCTAACTACGGACTACAAACTACAAATTTTTGCTTTCTAACTTCTCCCTAAGCTTCGTCCTCACTAGTTGCCGACAGCCGCCGCGGCATGTTGTAAAAAACACGTGGGCGGTAGGGGAGGGTCCCCGTTGCTCAGAATAAAAAAGTCCGGATTTTAGGATTTTCGGGGTGCCAAACTGCGCTATGGTAGGTGCTACCATAGAAAAAAGTCCCCGGTGCTCACCTTCTCATCGAAATCCTGCTCCATTCCGTGCATGATTTGACCGATCTGGGTGGCCATGATGTATCCTTGCTTTCCTCTGTCGAACGCATCGAAGAACTTTTGGTACTCTGAAAATAACTTAGTTGGGGCCTATAAGGGGCCTGAGGGCCTTAGAAAGGGGGCCCTGAGGAGGACCTCTTAGTAAGAGCCTCAAAAGCCTCAAGAGTTTGTTAAGAACGGCCTATTGCTCAGTCTTAGTTTGGGCCTCAGGGCCTGAAAACTGTTAGGCAGAACCTGACGGCCTAAAAGCCTAAAGGGCTTCCTAAAAGCCTTAAGGGCTCTAACCTAACAGGCCTAAAAACCTTATAAAACTAACTCACCCTCAATTTGGGATCCGTCGATCTCGGCAAGAATCTCTTCGATGTCCTCAGCCTAAAACGTCGAAAAATTTTTTGGAAACCCAAAATTCAAAGAGATAGATAGAAACTCACCATGTTGTGTCAGAGTGTTGTTGTGCTCTGAAGATTTCTTCTTGGCGAGCTCCGGGAGAAGGAGTAGGCGGGTGCCCTCCGATGAAGGGGGGCGTGGCCTCGACTGTTACACCGTGCCGGCGGCAGATGTGATGTGCTCCCGAGGCTCTCTATCTCCTGGAGGAGAGAGCACTGGGAGATGAGAGACGGAGGTATGGGGGATGGGGGAAGTTGACGATGATTTTTGTGGAATGGAAAGCGTAGGGAAGTCGAGGAGAAGGAGGAGATGAGGGAGAGAGATCCCGGGAGCTTCTTGGCCAAGAAGAGGGAGGAGAGGCAACCAAGGATCATCTTCATCACAACGAGAAGAACCGGGAAGGGACCAAGGGGAGATGGGGGAAAATGAAAAGTTCAGGGAATGGCTGTATAGATAAAAATGTGTGATAAAAATGTCGAAATGAAAAAGGGAGGTGCCCTTTTATCACAGGTTAGTACAATTGGAATTATAAGGAGCAACTGAGAAAAAGCTCATAATAGAGGTAGTGTGTAATGTATATTTAGTTGTTCTCGGAAAAATGTAAAGCACATGTTGTGGTGGTAGAATGTGTGGGAGATGTCAGTCAAGAACAAAAGCAAAAAAGACCCTCTTCGATGGAAACTGAAAAAACTGTAGTGAGTCTGTTTGTGCACCTTATATAAGAAAATACTATATACTTACAAAAAAATAAGTACTTCTCAAAAGATTCAACATCAGATACTCTTGGGTGTAACAATTGACTCTCCCACAAACCTACACTCTTCCTGGGATAAAGTACTATGAAGCTAGAGGTCCTATAGAGCAGAAACAGAAAATGGGGGAATTCTGAATTCTATGAAAAACTATTCTAGAGAAAAAAATTGCGGAGTCTTGAAAGTTTTGCTAATTAAGTTACCAGTCTGGAAGCAAAAACAACATAAGGTGACGCAGCAGGCATGTCTGGAAATGGATGGGAACAACGGGAAAGTGAATAATTTTATTAACGAATAAAAAACATAGCATGAATCAAGAGTGAATCACATTGGAAGATCAAGAGGTCCTAAAAAATGGGAATGAAGGGTATAAGCCGGAATCTACAGTACACCCAAGGCTGCAAAGTCAGAGCAGTATATCTCAGTTGTCTTTGAAGCTATCAAGTAATTGTCAACTATTGAAATGATTGGTAATTCAAAAAACTGCTTTGTTCAATTCTTCTTCAGTCGAACACTTTCTGATAACTTTGAAGAAAAATTAGAGATTCGAACATAAAGTACTGAGAGTTATCACAGAATTTGAGCAATCTGTCCATACTTCATAATACGACTTACAGGCTTTGGTGTGTGTAAATCACATGCAAAACTAATGAGGAAAATTTTTGTTTTAGCAAGTTCAGCTATTTTCTCAGACACATGAACTTGGCAACCAGGAGTGAGCTGAACGACGATATAATGAATTTTTCGTTACATAAAGTTTTTTTTTCAAAAATCCAATCGTCACCAGTTTTCATATGCTTAGTTATGACTATTCAAAAATTTCTTCTTGTCGTAGTTTTCAAGTTTTCGTGCAAACTATCAAAAACTGTTGTAATACTTTCAATCGTGGTGAGAATCTCATTGATTACTACAAACATGTTTCTATATTTGTTTATCCCAGTACATTCCATCTGACACGCCCATTATATATTTCCCAGAATCGTCTGGTAATCTAACTCATCAATTACCCTCATTGACTATGGAGACAGACCCCATATTGACTTCAGACGACTATTGTATTTGTACCCTTCACTACAATAATATTGTTCCCCTTATTTTTATTTTTATTATTCTCCTTCAATTTATTTTTCGTTTCCTAACAATTCCCATCTGACCATCTTCTTCTTTTTCCCCTTCTCCCATTCATCTCATATGTACGCATCTTCGTTTTTTTCCCTTATCACCATACAATATTTGATTCCATTGTTCTCTTTTCTCTCTCTCTCTCTCTCTCTCTCTCTCTCTCTCTCTCTTTCCGATGGAATGCATCATTGTAATTAGATTATAAATCGTTTCGTTCTTTTTTGGGTTCCATTGCCTATTAAAAAAACCGGAAGCGCTTTTAAAAGAAAATCTTTTTACACAACTGGTATGGAATGTGTTTTAAGTGGGGAAACGTCATCTACTCATTATCAGTAAAAAAAAAGAGAAAAGTTTCCTAAATATTCCGTTTTAATACCCACGGCTTGTCCAGTATTGTGGGTGTGTGATAAGCTGAACTTTTAGAAATTTGAAGAAGGAAGGAAACGAGAGGAGACGATTTATTGTTTATTGCGGGTTGAGTGGGGGTGTTTTAAGATTTTTTTTGTTTGTAATTTGGAGTACGGACGTACCTAGATATATTTATTTTCTTCTGTATATTGCTTCCCACAAGCCGGGTCTGGCTCGCCAGTTACCGCGAAGTTTGAACTTGAATTTTCAAAATCGAAAAATGAGCTGATTTTTACCTATTTTGTGTGAATGGGGTTTGCATGTTCGGAGTAGTTTTTTTTAGTTTTTTCTTCTGGTGGCCCGAAAAATTTTTGAAAATTTTTTGTATTTTTCAAAGTTTCAGGGAAATTTTTCGAAAATTTTCTCCGGGGCTTGAAAATTTCAATACGGCCCGGGCCGGGCTTGCGAGCTTTGACAGGCATGCCCAGATTTCACAAGACTTACCATGTACCTTTGGCACTGGTCAAAAATCGAGGACCGAAAGAAAAAAATCGAGGATCCAAAATAAAAATATTTTATTTAACATTTTTATTTTGAATCCTCGATTTTTTTCGGTCCTCATTTTTTTTCTTTCGGCCCTCGATTTAAGACCAGTGCCGTACCTTTAAGGTATATTGAATTTATACAAAGTATCTTATCAAGAATTGTGCTATGCTATATTCTTTAGATGTAGTGTAATCCCTATGCACTACATCTGTCTCTCTTTGAGGAAGTTAATCTGGAGATTACGTCACCCCACTTCGCAGGATTCCTTCGTTTTGAATAGATCTTAGATAGTAAAGTGAGCCTATCATTTAGCAGAAGTTCTAGCCAAACCAGTACTCGATTTCCAGTCTTTTTTTTTGAAAACTGCAATTTGACGTAACGGTGTCGGTTAGCGGTGTTTGCGGACGCGACATCATACCTTACGACAGTTCAGCATTTCGCCATTTTGTTGTTCTAGGCCCCCCCCCTCCTACCTTGCGGCGCCAAAAGGAGTGAAAAGAAGTACGCCCTCCACCTGCCACACTCTTGTCCCCCGCGGCCTAGTGGTTAGCGCTCCCGTTTTTGAAATTCTAGACCCGGGTTCGATTCCCCACGGGGTCAATTTTTTTGTTTTTTTTTAAACTTTTTTTTCTGGATTTGTGCAGGTCCTTAGCTATCAAAAAGTGGCAAAAAATTTGATTTCGAACTTTAAAAGTGCTTAGAAGCCCTACCTTCCTCAAAAATTTCTCAAACTAATTGAAGGTTTTCTTCTCCCTTTTTTCTTCAACTTTCCGAATTTTTCCAGAACTTTGCACCCAATTCTTTTCCCTTCCTTCATTTCAATCAATTCCTAATCATATTCTCTCCAAATGACTCGCAAACACACACTGTATCAGTGGCTCCTCGCGGGAGAGAGTAGGTCATCATTATCAGTTGAGTAGCTCCCCCTTCCATTTCATGCACTGCCAACCAAACACAATTAAAAATGGATGATAAAAAAGAATCACTCTTCCTCTCTGCACTCTCGCATCTCTCTTCATACTCTATTGTATAGTTGTCCTATCTGCAATCATCAGCAGCAGCAGTAGAAGCAGCAGAAACGGCAGTTTTATATATTTATTGCAAGGTGCGAGAAATTTTTTTATTTCAATAATAATACTGGTTTAAAATGAATCATACACGCACAATGAGAAAAAAAATTACAGTAACAAATTTCGAAGAGCGTGGTGAGACCTGTAGATAGCTGATGCGCCTTTAAGGTTAATGCACCTTGGAGGAGTTCTAATGGAGATTAAGGGAGAAGCGTGGGTCTAGGGGTCTCGTTACAAAAAAAACTTTTACTGTCAGATTTTTTTCTGTAAAGATCTGAAAATTTCGAAAAAAAAATCCCTAAATCTTTTTCCTTTTTTTTTCAGAAAATGAGCTTTTTTTCCAATATTTTTTTTCGAAATCCTAATTTTTTGAAAAACAAATCTTGTAGATGGCCTGGAAATGGCCTAAAATTACCCAAAAAACGCCTAAAAATTGCCTTAAAACGGCCTCCAATTCACCTGAAATTTTGCCTGAAAATTGCCTCAGAATTGCTCAAAATTGTCTAAAATCGGCTTGAAAATGGCCTAAACTGGACCTGAAAACTGCCTATATTGGCCTGAAAAATGGTTAAAAGCAGCTTCAAAACTGCTCAAAATTGCCTAAGAATGGCCTCAAAGCTACCTCAAATTTACCTGAAAACTGCCTTAAACAGGCCTAAAATCTCCCCAAAAATCACTCGAATTGGCCTTAGATTGACCTGAGAATGGCCTATTAGAAGCCTAAACTTCAAAACGTAAGGGTGCCCCTATATTAGAGGGATTTTTTTCCCATTTTTTCTCTCCGTATACGGCTCCTCACCTGGAGGAAGGCGCGAGAAAAGCCGTACTTTTGTCTATGCCCTCTTCCTCCTTGTCTGTCGTTGCCCCCGTGGCCTAGCGGTTAGCGCAGCTGTCCCTCATTTTTCCATCCCGGGTTCAAACCCCACCGGGGTCAAATCTTTTTTTCTTTTTTTTTCAAACCATTTTCTTCCATTTTTTTTTTCATTTCCCCACTCTCCTATTGTCCATCTCTCCCTCTCTTTCTCTCTTGGTAGTTGTTTGTGGGAGGGGAGTGGACTGTTCGTGAGCGCCCCACTAAGAAATAAAAAAAATAGTGAAAAATAGGCGCGAGACGCAGATATTTAAACAGAAAAGGTGGGGGGAAAAAGAAAGAAGAAAAGGAGAAGATCGATGTGTATGCATGTTTCCATCAAGACAGTCTCTCTCCCACTTTCCCTCATTCTTTCCTTTTTCTTGTCCGTTGGCTGCTGACCTTCTATTTTTCTCGGTATCTGATTTTCGATTGAATAATTCCTTTTTTTGTTCTTCTATTCTTTTTTACTAAAACTGGTTTCAATTTCCGAATGGTCACTTACTGTTTTATATCACATTGTTTCTCTCTCCCTCTCAGTTTCCGATTCAATATATTCTTTGTAATGGAACTTTTCGGGTTCTGCACTGTTTTTTTTTTTTGAAAAACCGTACTTGTGAAATTCTGGCATGGCCCTGAGGCCCGGATTCAAACAATTGCAAAGTTTTTTTTTTGAAAAAATTTGCACTTTTTCAGAAAAAAAAATAAATTTTTGCACTGAAAATGCCTCGCAAAATTTGGAGATATTTTTTCGATTTTCCGTGCCAAGCGGCTCCCCGGGCTGGGCTGTGCCTTGAAAATTTTTTCTTGGCCCAGGATTTGACACTATTGAAAAATCATTTCCGTTACTTGCAAAAAAAATCATTTGGGCCCTATGATCACATTGTCACAGGGATGCCCAAAAACCTGATTAGTGTTGATTAAAAATCAGATCTGTTTCTTTTTCTCTTAGTCAGTATTTTGTAGATTATTAGATTAGAGTACTGGGCAACAGCATTGGGTCTTGTCACAGATTTTGATTTAGTGTAAAGAATACATTAAGATCTTATATAGCGCTGGGAGGACGTTCCGAAAAAAATATCATGCGCCTTTAAGGTAATTCTCATTCATATCTGCATTTGATCAGTATATAGAAGTTTCCGGAAATTGGAAGAATTTTTTTATTCCTAAAGCCTTTTATTTTGCAACACGGTGTATCGACCGGATAATTTACTATGTTAATTAAAACTTTTAAGAATTACAGTTTTTTCTTAAATCGTGGTGAGGCCTTAAAAACAGTTCTTATCTTCATGTTAGATCAGTCGTATAGTTCAAACTTTGGTTATGTCCTTCTCCTAAATTATCATTTTACTTCCAATTATGTGGTTTGGCATAAATCACTTCTATTCGACACAATTTTTGTACCCGAGTTCTTCGAAAGTTCTTCGACCTTCCGATTTTACGACCTAGCTCTTTCGCCTATCAATTTGTGTGTCCTTTCCGAACGGAGGGTGACATTTGCATGATATCATTTATGATTTGCATTTTTTGTAATTTGTAAACAGTAGCACAAAGAACTGATTGCTGAAACGTCATTAGGCTAAGATCACAGATTGGGTCGAAGATCTTGTACAGAAATCACGGTAAATATTTTTGAACGTACAATTTTTTCTCGGTTGCTACGTTTCACATGGACTTATACAAATTTCATATTGCGTCTCCAAAATCTGACAGTAAACCGCGCTTAAGCCGAAGGAGCGCGCACCATGTTTCCAGAGCACTTTTCAGTAGTAACTTCCAATCAAATTCAGTAAATATTATATTCAACATGATGCGAAGAAATGTTTCTATTCAATTTGATTCAAAAAAAGCTTAGGCCCTGATTTTTAATTTTTATACAAATTGAGAAAAATGCCTATGTATCGCTGAGTCGCCACTGTGAGAAACATATTTTCGTAGGTTCAAGAGATCTATTGATATCAGAACGTTCTAATTGAGAACAAGTTCACTCGGAACTAGTTGAGACCAATTCAAAAAAATACTGACTACAAAGTACAAGGGATTTCAGTAGTCGTCGAATAGTGGTTTGGATACTTCAAATCACAGTTCAATATGATTTCTGCATTCTGACGTGGCTGTGTCATTTAGTGGTGTTTGCAGACTCGCCATCATATCTTACGACAGTTCAGCTCTTCATCATGGTGTCCCCCCATTCTCCTAGGCGCGGTAAGAAAAAAGATGTCTCCCGCGGCCTAGTGGTTAGCGCTCTCGTTTTGGAAACTCTAGACCCGGGTTCAATCCCGACTAAGTGCAAATATTTTTTGTTTCTTTCGGATTTTCTAGCTCTGGTCCCCGGAGTACCCCTGGACTCTGTTCTCCTCTTAAAACTACTATACCGCCCCCTTTCATTAGCATTTCCCGTTTTTTCCTATTCCCCCATCTGTCCGCCCGTTGTTATGCCACAAAAATAACAAAAACACCTAATAAATATTCTATTATTTCTCTCCTCCAAAAAAAAAATACAATTCTCTGTTTCATTTTATTCCCATTTTCGAAATCGAAAACCGATAAAAACTTTATGATTCGCTCTTCTCGTAAAATTTTCTATCATTTGTCCACCCCTTTTCTTCCCTTTTTTCCTTTTTTTTTGTTTTTACAGTTTTTCGGTTTATTGCAAAATGATCCCGTGCTCTTTTTGAAGCGGGGGTATAAAAGAGAAGAGATTTTCGGAGAATTTTCGTGGTTTTTTTTCAATGGTTTCCAATTCAAATTTGGCGGTTCTCCTTATGAAGAACGGGAAAAATCGATAAAAAATTTCAGGAAAAACTCCTAAATTCAAAAAAAAATTATCAAAACTGAAAAAAAATGTTGGCTGCACTACCTTGGGATAATTATAGGTGACGAAATTCTTTTTTTTTTTTTTGGAATTAGCAAGTAGATCAAAAATTTTTCTATCGATTGATAAAAATGTAAAAAAATAGTAGATCAAATTGCTTTTTTTTGCATTTTTCATCTACTTTTTCTAGAACAAACTCATATGATAATTGTTCCAATCGATAGATCAAAAAATTCTCTATCGATTGGTATTAATTTCTCAAAGGCTTGTTTCAGAAAAAGTAGGTCAAAAATCGAAAATCTAAGTTTAGGCCTACAAATTAGTTTTTTGCTTTTTGATCTACTTTATCTAAACTGATTTTCTCTCTCTCTCTCTCTCTCTCTCTCTCTCTCTCTCTCTCTCTCTTTCTAGCTCTCCATTATCCAAAAAGCTGAATAATTTTGCTTTCCAGAATACCCCTCGAAAAAACCGGCAACCACAAATCGGAATCCCGTTATTCCACAACTCCCATAATCAATAGAAGCATTGAATGCTAGAGGCGATTTACGCCAAGGTACGTTCATCATTTGCAAACGCGCTCTACTGCGAAATTCAGATTTTCGGAGTGGAGCGCACTTGCTGATTGATTTCTCTGCTCCTATTAGAGTAGCTAGTTCACTGATAACACCTCCGAATTTTCCATATTTCTCCCACTGATAATACTATAATCCCAGTGAAAAATTCGCCTTCTTTTCGCAATTTTTTTTTTCGTTACATACGAATATTTAACAAAAAAAAAGTGACCATTGATCAGACTCGAATTTCGGAAAAAAAAATGAAAAAATAATAATCGGTTTTCAAAAAAAAATTTTTTGTGAAGGGAAAAAAAATCGGAAAATGTGACCAAATGTGTCTGGTGCAAAGAACGGGTGGACTTTGAAAATGAAAATTTTTGGAAAAAGAAACTCTAATAGAGTGGCATATCAATTGGGGAACCTAGAGAAAAAAACAAAAAAATGCCGAAGCGCCGTAGGCGCGCAGGCAGCTGAAGGGTCCCGCCACGAAAAAGCGGGTACTGTAGAATTTAGAAAAAAAAGCTACCGTAGAGTCTTAAATCGTTGCGAGACCTTTACGAAAAATATCCAAAATATTTTGCAGATAATGGGAGTCGGATCAAGTCGACATGACAAACGACAGGGATGCTGGTCGTGGGGAGGGTGAGTCTTTTTTTTCTTTTTCTTTTTTTTAATTTTTTTGTCTTTCGAACAAATTAGAAATTTTTCCTTTTCTTTTTTCAAAAAATCAGCCAAGAAATTTCTCATTTACAGGTCGTCAAACAGCGAAATGAAACGACCGAAAAAGTTGCCGTCAAAGTTGAGATTGAAGTGAGTTTTTCGAATTTTTTTTTGACGGGAAAACGGATTACTGTAGGGTTACGGTAGCTAGGAGGTAGAGAAATCGGTAGGTCAAATTATCTAGCTTAGGTCACTATAGCGGTAGTTACTCAACTGCTATGGGGGTGATCAACTACTATATTGTAGCTGCTATATTTTGCTCTTCTGCTATGGATCAGCTGCTGTTTTTGCCACATAGCAAAAGAGCCAAATATAGCAGTTAATCCATAACAGAAGAGTCTAATATAGCAGTTGAGCATTTGCCAAAAAATCGGTAGGTCAAATCGGTAGATTGTAACTGCTATTTTCTAAACTTCTATGTTTAACTCTTCTGCTATAGATCAACTGCTATTTTCGCCATTTTTGATGTCTCAACTGCTATGGCTAAAGCAGTTGATCCATAGCAGAAGAGTCGAATATAGCAGTTGAGTATTCGCCAAGAAATTGGTAGGTCAAATTACCTAGCTTAGGTTTAGCTCCGGAGCACAATTTTTTGAATTTTTTTTTCGAAAGTTTTGAGTCCCATTTTTCCCTCAAGAATTACTCCCCAGACGTTCAGACTGATGAAAAACTTTTTGTTTTTTGCCTACTATTTTTTTCAATTTCTAATTTTTTTGCAAACAAAAAAAATACGTAATTCTATTTATTTACATGATTTTTGGTTCCTCTAATAGGTCAAACCTTGAAAAAAAAATGGAAGAAAAAACAGTTTCTCGACGGAAAAAAAAACGAAAAGTGAGGTTGTTTTTGAAAAGAAGATTATGTTTTGAATTGAGAAAAAGAGAGAGAGAGAGAGAGAGAGAACAAAAGAAAAATACAAAAAAAGATTTCCAATTTTCACTTTCATCGAACTTTTTTTTTTGCTTTTTGTACACCGGGAAAAGTGAAATTCTTTC